GGTGCTTCAGCCTTTGGCTGGTTCACAGAAGCAGCTAAGGAGAAGGCAGAAGAGTGAAAGAAACCTGCAGCTATTGGGGGGTGGGAGAAGAAAAGCTTGTTTGGGGGATTGCACTAGAATGAGCTACCAAGGAGGGCCAGAGAGGAGGACTGTACATTGATTTTAGTCATAATATTGTATGTGTTGTGACCACTGGGGAGGAACAGCCTTCTTCCTGCCATACCGATGAATACCTTTTGACTCAGCACTGTACACTTCAGGTGAAATGAGAACATTTTTACATCCCAGAAGTGGAAGTGAAAGTGAAAGGACCGTAATTAAAGGAGAGGGGGCAGAGGGGAGTTGGTAGAAATAATATACGAAATCAGGGCAAAGTTTTAGGGTCAGAATTAGCGAGATGCATTCTAGGAAAAGGTTAGGAGCACAAATCAGCTGAAATTTAGTTACTAGGCTGGGAATTGAGTTAAAATATCTCCACCTAATAAGCCAAGCACAGAAGCATCCCCTGTGGCTTCTTTTTTAGTTTCTACAGTAGATTCAGAAAGAGATCGAAGTCAACAACAAATTTTCCTTAAGCCATAAGATTACTGCTGCTTTTGGTGAAATCCTTGAAAGCGGGGTCAGGACTGTTGTCACATTTTTGAAAACCCCTCTGCACTGATGGGGACAATGCATTTGGATAAAGTGGAGGAAAGCTGCCGGCTGACTTACATTATTCTTTTCCTAGGACCGAAAAAAGAGCATCCTAGGAAAGCTTTCTTTTGATAAACTGTCACAGCATAAAATCTTGCATAAAATAAATCTTAAATAGGGACATTGCAGCTATTAGAGTGCTGCGTAATGAGATGGCAGTCCAGGATGGGCACCTCGCTTTATGTACAGTGCTGTTTTATACATGAAGCCATCTAATAAGATACGTGTCCTTTAATTAAGGTCTCATGTACGGTGTAGTAGTAATGAGGGAATATGAAGAAAAGAAATGGAAAAGCAAAGAGCTTTGTTTACTGTGCTGAGAAGCCTTTATCATAAGGAAATGATCAGAATTTAAATTTTTATCATCTGTCACGATTTGCTGCTGCTTTAATTAAAACAGCACCAAGGACGTGTACAGTGAGCCTGGCTAGATGTGCTTCGTGCTCTTAATGACTGTCAGATGGGAAGGCAAGGGGTACAGAGAGGGCAGGACTGCGGGAAGATCCGGAGGGAGATGGTGCCAGATGGCCAGGCTTATTTTATTAATTTAGATCCCCATTATGGCTTCTCTTTTCTTCATTTCTCCAAAGGATGAGTTAGTTTAATGGGAATCAGTTCACAGCCACAGTATGACACGTTTAACCCTTTGGAGCCCATAGCATGGCAGCAAAGTGCATGTGTGTCGTGCATCCAGTCGGCCGGCTGCCTCCACCAGGCCCCAGCTCCAGCCCAGGTGCTTACCCCACAGCAGCCCTCCCTCAGGTACTTTGTTGAAACCTGCTGTCCTAAACGAGTTCCAGCTTCTGATCGTTGCAGCAAAGGAGGGCCAAGGCAGCATTTTGAGTAATTTCTCTCCTGCTACCACCCCAACCTGCTCAGGCGGGAGCCATCTGGGCTGCTGGGCTTCACCACACTCATCTCTTACAAAATCTCTGCAAAACCTTCCTGTTAGTAGCAAGTAGCCTCAGTCGTTGTCTTCCAGCTCTCAGGTGCCTGGACACCCAGAAAGCATAGCAAAGTACTGAGGAAAGCGAATTTAAAAGATTTTTTTCTATTGGGTTTTGTCTTCATGCATCGTGCACTCAGTTACTGAGGTATCTGCCGCCTCCCCGTGGCTGTTGCGAGAAGCTGCACGCAACTGGAGATCATGATTTTAGATATTATTTAGATTTAGGGGCTTAGAGACAAAAAAAGGAATATTATCTTCTGAACATCTGTTTGGCACCGTCTAAAGCAAGAAACTACTGAGGCGTTTGCATTAAGAGCAGGGGGGGTTAGTTTCTTCCCTTTCTGTGTCCACTGTGAGAGCAAAGGAGCTTCGATTTGCTAGGTCTTCTGCATCATCAGTGGTATTGGACTAGTATTAGCAACAAAGTGAGCTTGTCTTCTGTGACTCAGTTTAAAAAAACCCTCAAACTTGTGAAGAATTTCTAGCTCCTGCATTCTCTATAAAAAGCCTGTTCATTAATTCACTTTATGAAATGATTCAGAAATCAGTATCACATTTAAGTCATTCTTGGATTCTAGACTAATTTTGCAGCTAGACTAATTTTGATCACAACCATGTAGCCGGAACAAATGGCAAGATGCATTTCCACATACCGTGAGTTTAGTGACACATGGAGGAAAAAATCTGAATTCACTCCAAAAATCTATGGTACATGCTGTGACATGAAAAAACCAAACCAGCTCAAAATATGTACCGTGCAGAGGATGAAATCTTGCACTGTAATACAGGAAACAAGGCATTACATTTTCAAGATTCTGAATTAATACTTGGACTTTTGAACGGCTTTGTCAATAATTTTCAAAACTGTTTGCACTGGGATTCGTATTTTTTTCCGAACTATGTGAGTTTGTAGTTGTTTGCAGGTCCATCCCAAGAATTTTATAGGTGTAGGAAGTCTGCATTATGTCAGCCCAAGGTTGACAGTAACAACTTTTGACAGCAAAGTCATTTACGCTGTCACCTTCATTGCATCTACAACATTCAGCTTGTGCTTTGCTGAGGAGGAGGAGGAAGATGACAACAAGAGGCAGGGATGCCCAGGAGTTATTAGTGAGTTTTCAGAGAGTCTGTGGGGTGATGGTGAAATAAGAGATCTCATGTAGTCATTGAGCATTGACAAGTGATATGCAAGAGAAAGTCTTGAACTGTCGATTACTCCATTGAGCAAGTCGCCCAGCACACGTTGCCTGTGGAAAGCTCAACTAGTGCATGCACCTCTGTGCATTGCTCTTTTCATCCCCTCCTCCCTCACCATTTAGCGAGGGAGGGGCCTTCATGCTCTTGAGAGCATCACAAGCAGGGTTGCTTGCCACGCTTACTGTTATAAACGATTAAAGTGAAAACCAGACTGACTGATCTATGGGAAGCTCGCGTTCTGGATGGCAGTATGGGAATGGCACTCTGAACGCTAACTCAGCAGGTTGGGGTAGAGATGACTAGATTGATGGAGCATATAATTCTGCTTCAGATTATTCAGAAGTCTTAGATATATGCTGTATATTAAATATTACATAAACTATCTAATAAAATACTAGATTAGATAAAACCTCAATACCAATCAGAATTTGTCAGGCTATCAAAGTTAAGTCTTTGGGCATGGTGAATAGACGTTTTTGAGAAAGATTCACAAAATTCAGAGGCACGAATTTGACAAGGATCTCAAAGTTCAAGTGCTTTTTGCAAAGCTTATCCAGACTTTTGGAGCTTTGTTGTCATTTCAGATCTTCTGAAAGCTCCCAGCTTTCCTTGTCAGGCTGACAGCAAGCAAGTATTCCTAGTCCTTCCTTAGTTGTTCCCTAGCACTCCAAAATTGCCTGGGTATTTTCCAGTCATTTAGTAAGAACAATTTTACAAATGCTTTTTATCCTACCTCTACCCAGTGCTTGAGTTCTGTGTTCTCACTGCTTCTGTTTTACTTTTTCCCTCAGTGCATTTTGTCTTAATACTCAATATTGTACCAGGACAAGAGATAATGAGCTCATGACTGAGACTGAGTGAAGTAGGCTTTGAAAAATTATATGACATAAAAAATTGTATAAAAATACATTGAATGCTTTATTTAGGGATGTGAGGACATTATACCAGTAATCTAATTCCCAGTATCTTCCTAAGCAGCTTTCACATCCATTTTTTTATTTCTTTGGGTTTTGAATTGCTGCTAAAATAATGAAAATGGATGGAGCTGATGATGAATCATCATGACAATGTTTACTATCAACGGGGATTTTTGCCAGAGTGTTTTAATCAGTAACAAGGTCCCAATGGTACTGGCCCACTTAGACCTGCAGATAAAAAAAAAAAAAGATTCTTGCTATTTCCTTTATTTGTACTGGTGTTGCAACAGCTTAAATTAAAGCTTCTATTAAAGGTAATAAATTAATCTATTTCAAAGCTGTGTGGTTAGATGGCAGGCGAGCACGCTAAGAGCTTGCGTGGGTTTCTCTGCATAACCCATGGGCTGATGTACCTCCAGGGGGGAGAATGCACAGGGACTCCCTTTAGGCACCTTATTGCAATGCTGGTGTTTCAGCGCCCAGGAGTGTTTCCTCCCACCCCAACCAAACACAAAATAGTCAAGAGAAAAAGGTGGGTGCCTCCAGATGACCTTTTAGAGAATGTATGTTAAGCAGTTAGTTACTCTTACTTGCCCTACATAGACAGGCAGCTTTCTGTTGAGGGAGCCTAGGGAGCCCATGTTATACATTCAAATTAAGCAATGTGGATATTTCTGTAGCTGTGAAATAACAGTCAATGGAAAATTTGTTTTCTAAGAAAGAGCTAAACCTGAGTTTGCACATCAGTATCAAAACTCTTACAGCTGTAGCCTGGATCAGACTTTACCTTAGAAGAAAAAACCAAAACAAACCCAAAGCAAGTGCAGAATCGGAAACAATATTAAATGGTTATTTCTCACACCAAAAATCAGCAGAGGTCTGGTAAGTGGGATTCTACTCTCAAGCCTTTATCCTGCATGTGGCGACTTATCGCATTAGACACTAGACTGCTAGGCAGTCTGCAGTCAGCCCTGTAGGTATCTAACCTCCTGCTCGTCAGGAGTTTGGGTCAGTTCAAAATTTGTTGCTTGGAACTGTCATTAATTATTTTTGCAAAAGCAATTACAGATGGCAATATAAGCAAAATAAGCACCAGCTGTTGTGAAAGTCATAACTCGGGAATCTTTTTCTCAGGTTGGATACTTCAGTGGCACAGATAATTGCACAATAGCTAGTGCTATTTGTCATTTAATATATGGGGCACGACCAGAAGGCATACTAATGTCTGACATCTTTTCTTTCAGGATGATTTTCTGTATAGTGTCTCCATTTTAAGTGGAATCCTTTGCACTGTCTTGGCAGTAATCAAATTTATGCTGGGAAAGGTCCTTACAAGCAGAGCGCTGATAACTGATGGTGAGTGTGAAGTTGATCCTGCTGCATTTATAGACTCTTCCAGGGAATGTTGTAGACACAGAGGATATGAGTGGCCCCCACAGGAGGGCAAATGTGAAAAAGCATTGAAATAAGAAGGCCTCTAGTAAATGGAAAAATCCCCAAACCCCGGGACAGTCTGTGGTACCACTAGCCTCTTGCACAGATGTCTCAGCTGAAGTGGGTATGTCTGGTGGAAGGCAACAGTTAATGTGTGGATAGTAAGCAATAATAGAGAGTTAGAGGTAGAACATATAATGCATTAAGTGTGTATTAATTGGAAGTTAGACTATGGAGGGGGGATATCACACTGATTTACATAGCTCTGGTTAAGTCAAGTCTATCCTCACTGCCTATGCCTGTCAAACAATTTTGTCCCTACGGTTAAAATGAAGCAAGTCTGTTGCAGAAAACACCGCCCTACCTTGAGCAGGAATCTCAACCATCATTCATACATATCCCCTGTACACTTAATTTGCCACTGTAGTGTTTTTCCTGCCACTCAGTAGAGCTGGTGCAGCATTGCATGTGGAAAACCAAGCCTTTGCCCGCCTCCTGCCCCACACTCCTGTGGCCCTGCTGGAGTTTGGCACAAGGTGGATCTCATCTGCTATATCTTTGGAAGACCTCACTGCCACTATGGTGTTGGCTCAGGTGTGTAGTGCCTGACTGTTGCTGGTTTTAAAGGTATATTTAAAGGCACGTTTTAAAAGTAGGTCCAGGTACGCCTCTTGCTGACAAGGCTCAAGCTTTTGAATCTTAACAAAGCCACAGGGATCTACTCTGCAAACAAGTGAGGCCACGGTGATGGCAGGAATTTCACAGCGCCCTACAAATCTCTACCGGTTTTTATCTGCAAGTACAGGACAGTTTTAGATACCCTGTAAACATACACAGTAGGGTGTTAATGATTCATGGGTTGTCGTACATAAATTATTTTACTCTGCTGAAGATTTCACTTTAAGGAAATTCAATTTTCAGCTTACTCTAGGGATGAATTTGCTTTATCTTAAGTAGTTTAAACATACTCAGGTTTTTTTTTTGGTGATGTGTGATAACACATATTATGAGTATTTATATTTTATATTGTCCCACTTATATAAATACTTCATGAGTATTTGTATTTTAAATACAAAATAAGCAAAAAAAGGAATCAAAACAGCACTGCAGGGATGACGACTAAGCTACTGCCTCCCTGTACTTGTGATTCTCTCCCAACAGACCACGCTGTTCAGTGATCTTATTCTTTACTATGGACTCTGCCACCCTAGACATTTTGAAACTAAAAGATCTCGAACCTGGAAAAAAAAGGATTCTGGGAGGGATCCTGGGAACTACAGCCCAGTGAGTCTGACTTTCTTCGCTGTCAGCGTAGGTGGGACTTGTCGACTGTTTCAGTACTGTGTCTGGGCAGGCAAACCATTAACCCTCCTTTTAAAGAAATGTAGATTGTTTTTGAAGCAGAGCAGTTTTTTCAGACAAAATATTAGCTGAAAAATTCCTGAATCTATCTCTGAATTGGTATGACACAGAAATCTCTTCCCCAATAATTACATCCTCGTGCTAATTATATTGCTTCTGAGCTGGAGATTGCTCATTCTTTGATTAAAAAAATTAGGGAATAAAGTATACAATTACCTTGGTCTGGTTCTTATCTCTTTTTTTTTTTTCTCTCCTTTGGAACTACTTTAGAAAATGTAGGAAGCTGATCTTACCATGTGTGGTTAAATATCTTCTTTCACAAGATACATTTACTTGATACATATATACTTGATTTATTAACAATTAGGAGGAGACAATGTGATTCAGCAGCTGAGACGGATTTAGCACTCCCTTGTATATCTTTTTTTAGTGTTTTCTGTTTCCTGCTAATTTACCTCCTGAGATCACTGGCTGTAGACCAACAAACTGTTTTGAGTAACAAGAGCATACATTTTTCTTCCTGAAAAATAGGTTTATTTTCAAAACAGCAAATTCTCTCTCATGCATGTCAACCTCTATTAATGATCTTTTTTAAAGGATAATTTTGTTTTAGAGTAGGGCTTGACAACAGCATCTCTTTAAAGCCTATATGTATGAATCCTAATAAGGCAAAATGTTATTTGTACGATTTTTTTATAGCAAAAGTTCGTGGCCTTTTGGATAATAAACCCAGCCATTTCCTATCTTGAATTTTGTAACGTCTTGGAGGACAAATGCAGATATGTGACAGTTAGGTGATGTCAGCCAACTTTCCTGTAGGTTTTAGATACCTGTTTCCTGCCCAGATTTAGCCACCTGATTTTTCCTGTGCTAGCCTTATGCACAGAACATGGTGTCTGGGTTAATACCTGCAGCCATTACGTGATTTCCTGCCGCACCAGTGAAGAAAGGTTTGACTGAGTGACAGTCAGGAAGAGAAAACAATTTCCATTGTAAGTAGCTTTTAGATCATTTGGAACCATCAGCCAATAATGGCAAGAAAATACATTATTCCTGCCTTTTGCACACCATGCTGAGGGATTCTGACTTAAGCAGGAGCAGGGGAAGTAACACTGGTTTAAATTTATAGTTGATTACTTTATACTTAATATCCTTTATATGTTCTTTATATACACACACAATATAGATTTCATTGACACGTATTAGCAGTATAAATTATATTGCCTAGGAATAAAAAAGGATTCTTCTAGACTAGAGTGTTGACAGAGTAATTGTGTCTAGATTGGTTTAACTATACTGATGTAATTAAGCCAATAATCAGGCATTTACATGCAACCCTGTGATACCAACTGTAGCACGCACTGCCACAGTCCAAAACAACCCTCCACCCCTTTTCTTTGTAGGGCTGGAAGCCTCAAACCTTCGTATGCCCCGTTCCGCCACAGACTTGCTAAGTAACACGCGCTTTTATGTGCCAGGGTTTCCTTTGCATTAAGTACCTACTGACAGGGATCTGGTGAATCTTAATCACAACATTGATGGCTTATACAAGTATTTCAGCTATAGGGGGCCAATTTTTAGCTACATCTTTCAGAAAGACTTAACGTGATTTAGGTAAGGACTGGCTGTGAGAGGTCTGGATCAAAGGAGACACTCAGGAATAAGCGTCATGTATGTGGTTGTTGGCAGTCATGGGGAACTGGAAAAAAACCTGGCTAAGTACTATAAGCAGCAGCTGACTAGAGTTGACTCAACAAGCAATATAGAATACTTCTAATTCATTTTTTAATTTATTAATTAGTTTAAATAGTGTATGTATCTATCAAATGAATGCATCAACCTTTTTTGTAGAACAAGATGTCTTTTGGGTTATTGAGAAAAAAAAATCAGAAAAAGGGAATTTGGGGGAAAAAAATGAACACAGGGAATGACTTAAAAAAAAACAAAAAAACCAAACCCAAACAAACAAATAACCAATCAAACAAGAGTTGAAGGAAAATGGCATTAATTGTTCCAAAAGCTATGGCAGAATTTTGAAGGGACAACCTTGGAGACAAAGAACAAGGGTTTAAAAAAGAAAGAGGAATCTAAAAAGATGTTCATAAAAATTGTGAATAATAGATACGATGCTCCCGTGATATGTCTAAGGCATAAATGGAAAATATTCCTAGAATTATCCTCTATGTCTTCCCTAATACCTTCAGCAGTGTATGCAGCTCTAAGCTGCAGTGACAAATACGTCTAAATAAATATATGGAATGGGGTAAAAAGCTTCAAGAGAAGGTCTTTGAAACGTTACTGTGCAAAACCATTTTCCTTTTCTTGAGCTCCTTAGATACACTGGACTCCCAGTTTGCTCCTTTTCAGAGAACGTCAGAGCCTTTGGGTACCTTACGAAGTGGCCTTTGAAGTTCTAACTGGGGATATTTGCACATGCAGCAATGATACACATGTTATGAAGAGGTTCTTTGGAAGATAACTGGGCTACAGCAGTCGTACTCAGGGCTGCAGCTAGCTGGCTGCTCTCCTGCTGCTCAGAGATACTTTGTTCATGACAATAAGCTGCAAGAGATAAGTGCTTGACTGTTAGAGTCAACATGCAGCAGGTCCAGTATTTTGAAGGAATATTGCTGTTTGGGAAATTGGCATCAAGAGGTGAAAGCCCTATGAAATAAACAGCAGCTAGAATTGGGATTTGGAGCTAAACAGAGAATGAAAAAATCGAGACTGACCAAATGAAGACACACAGTACAGACAAATTAATGTAAAGGTATTTATATCAGCCAGGACAAGTGACAGAGTTCTTAAACGCTGGTCAGACACCAACTATTCTCTGTTTGGTGTGTTGAAATGAAGCGTGGCAAAGACCGCTGGCACATGAATGAGTGGCACTGCCTCCTCCCTAATGCAGTGCAAGAGCGCGTAGGTGCCACTCTGTAGCCTCACCCAAGGGTCTGTGCTCCTCGCTGGTGGCACTGGTGTAATAATGCCTTGTCTCCCTATCGATCACCTCCTCTTAGGCGAGGTGGATAAAGCAAATTCCTTGAGGTTTGGTTCTTCCTTTAATTATATTTTTTTTCCTCTTCTAGGTTTCAACTCTCTTGTAGGTGGAATAATGGGATTTTCCATCCTTCTTAGCGCAGAAGTTTTTAAACACAATTCTTCTGTCTGGTACCTGGATGGCAGTATAGGAGTTTTAATTGGACTTACAATATTTGCCTATGGAATCAAGTGAGTATCTCCTGCTAGCAGGTATTTCAGTATGTATAGCAGATGGGCTGTCTGTGTAATGTAATAAGCCATGGCTCTTGAAGGCTTATACGACTCCAGTAAAATCAGTCACTGGAATTTATTAGACTAGCTGCCAGTACTGAAGTGGAATGTGTGGAAAGGGATAAAAGATTGTGTGTCTCACATCAGTTGGAAAGAAGCCAGGACTTAAAAAGAAATTGGAATCATTTTAGAAGACTTTTGTATACCTGAATTTGGAAATATAAGGTTTGAAATATTTGAAAAATAACCATAAGTCCTGGATTAACATCAGTCCCCATTGCTTTTGTGGTATGTTTCTAAGCATTGTTTTTTTCCAAAAAAAGGCTAGGTTAAAGGTAAGGTGCCCAAGTTTAGAGAACGATCTTCCTGGTGATTTCCATCCCAGCCCTACCCTATAGCAACTTCTGAACTGAAGGTTAGCTGGTCTTTTTTCAAGTGTTGTTTCTATTGAATTTTAAGATGCTTTCTTCAATCACAACACTAGAAATAGAATAAAATCAAATGAAGCTGTGCCATGTGCTTCATTGCTGTCACAATTTCCCTTGGCTACATGGAATCTAACTAAGGGGTTTGTGTTTTATCCCCCTTTCTGCTGTAAGAGAAAAGGGGAGATGTAGCATCTTAGTTAATTGGAATCATGCCTGGTGAGAAGCAGACCTTGGCCACGCTGCAGTAAGCTGTCATCTGGAAGCTGTATGGGTGGTTTTTTTTAAAACTTGGAAAATTAAATTAACATTTTAATGGAGAATACCATTCTTGGAAAAATCACTATAATCACTATTTCCATTGTAAAACTAACTGTTCTGGAAAACTGTAGAGGCAAACCCATACAAAAATATTCATTTAAACATACCAAACAGCATCAGAAACATTTTGTACAGCCCCTCAAACTCATGCAGCATACAGGCCATCAGCCTACCCTTGGCAGTGTGCTCGGCCATTGTGTCACCAAGACACGATGAAGGCTGATCAAGGATAAAATTAAATTGTTTTGGCAACTACCTGATTTTATAGTTTGTGAAACTACTGCAATTCTCCGCTAACGTCAGATACCTTCTTACAGTAGCCTAGTGCAAGCCAGGTTGCTACAAGGGTCCCTTTCCCACTAATCCCTACGTGGCTTCTCCAGCCAAAAACAACTGCTGCTGTGCATTTCACTCTCTCGATGCAGCCTGCATCCAAGCTTCCTAAAGGAGAGCCCTTCTCCACACCGTTTGTTTTACACTCACTTCTGGGCAGAATTAATTGTGGGGTGGAATTAATTCTCATCAGGAGAAAGCAAGATAAGGCTGTTACTACTATACCTGAGTTCTTTTTAATTCATAAAACAAATTAATATTTATAAGTAAAGAGAACACCCTGGTTCCAGGGCTTTCCTGTGTCTCTGCATCAACGCTCTTGTGCTTTCCTCTGCAGGTTGCTTATCGATATGATACCCCGCGTAAGGCAAACGCGCCATTATGAAATGTTTGAGTGAAGATCACACCCTCTCCTCTGTCAGGACTGTAAAACTACAGCATCGTACATTTTGGCAGGTGGTGCCAATGGTATTTTACTAAATCCGCAGTTTGTTTCCCGTGCTGTTTTTGTTGAAGTTTGTTTTAATGGGAAATCTCTCTGTAAAACTGGCGTATGTGCACACTGCTTGCAATTCAGCGAAACAGCAGCAATTTTTTTTTTCCAAGTATGCTATTGATTCCTGTGACAATAGAAAACATGCAGTTTGCAGTTTTAACCCAGCTGCCATGTTGTATATTCCAGAGTGAAAGTGTTTTTAATGGTGTGGTAAGCCTGTGGGTAAAGAAGTGCCAGTTTCAGATCTTATTTTCTTTTCCCTTGGCCTGTATTTTCCCAAACACGTGCTGTAACAGAAGTACAATCCTTGCTAACCTCTTCGGCTAACAGAGTATCCTATGTAGAGTCCGGACACCAAGAGCTGTGTTGCTTACAACACTTAACTAGCTACTTCCTTCCCCCCCTTCAAATAGTTGCGCAGAAAGAGCAGGTACAAACCTTTCTGTGATCAGAGAGATACTTCATTTTAATCCTAAATTAACTGAAACTATACCTCTTCAATTTAAATTCTATTTTTTCTTAACGAGACACTGTTCATAGCTTTGCATGGACCAAACAAGCACACACAGTATTACTGTACAGACCAAAGCCAAAAAGTCGTGCAAGGAAGAGGAGCTGCTTGAGGAACGGGATTTTCATCTTCTGTTGTACTATACGCAGATGTACCAGCGTGTGTGACTTTGTGGTTGCTCTGTAGTCTGACGATGGCACAGCAGTGGCTCAATCTGGTGGTGAGATACAGATCTATTTATTAGATTTAGATTGTCCTGTAAAGTGTTGCTCACCTTCCATCACACATCTTATATGTTACTTAATAGCGGGTTAAATTATCAAAGGATCTTGATGTATAATCAATAAAGCTGGTATCTATTTTATACAGTATCTGTAAGTAACATTTGAAAACTATTTCCAGAATGTATCATAGAACAAAGTCTTCCTGTATAGCAGCCTATTAAACTGGATTATCTGGCTATATCCATTTTCTCTTTGTTTTATATATTCCAGGTTGGTTTTCACAACACAGCACCAGTATTGTTGCTTCTGTTTATCACAGGTGGATAAAAAATAGACAGGCCGCTGTTGAGTTTGAAATAGGAGCATGGTAAGTAGCCAGGTAGCTACCTGACAGTAGACTACGTAAACTAGAGTAGATGTACAACCAGACTGTTCAGTGATTGATGTACAGTGGGGACACCGGTATTTTTTATTTTTTTTTTAATTCCACTGGTGCCTTGTGATGCTAAAACTGTATTTCCCATCTTATGCCACTTAGCAAGTTCTCAGCCAGATCCTTAAGGAATTGTAGCAAAAGCCAACTCCAAATGATATGTGTAGGAAGAGACCACCCAAAGGTCTCACTGACCTGACACTGCCTACATGAGGTGCACAATATTGGAAAGATGACGCTCAGTTCCGCTTGAAACAGAAAATTCTTCACAGCAACATCAATTCTGTTCTGCTGCTACAGTTTGTTTACACATATTTTGTATCAATTAAGTTTGTATAAATATTTGTATGCAAACTTTATAATATTGTTGTTATCAGTGCTGATGCTGCTTGTGCATTGCTGTCACAGGATGGGGTTAGAGATCATCATGTCACTCGGCAGTAAGATGAGGGTAAGTACAACACTTGACAAGACAAAGGAGCTACTTGATAAATGCATTCAGCAAGGACTCCAGAAAGACTGTAAAGTGTAGGAGTCGTCACTGTACTCATCACAGGCGGATTTTAAAAGATCAACCACCATCCACCCCAGGACCCTTTCTTCCTGCACAAGTTCCTAATCTGTTATGCTTTTGCTTATTCCGGGTATTTTTCCCATTATGCTTCTCTAACTCATAGTTCCATGAAGTGAGCCATGGAACAGGTATTTTCCCCACTGATTAACTGCTTTTGTCAAGCATCTTCAGCCTCGGCATCATACAACCAGAGCCTGAACATAGCTATATTAGACAGCTCATGGTGGTGTTAGGTTTATTAGTACTGTTTACCCTCTCCTGCCTCTCCAGGGGCTTTATTACTGCTCCAGTCCCATTGCTGGTTGTTAGAATGACACTTGGGAACTGCCAGAAGTGCTGCCCCACAGGGCCACGTGTTCCAGCAGCCTGTTTGTAGCAGAGGCCAGCGCCAACTGCATCTGAAGGAGGGTGAGAAGGTGTAATTGGCTGTGGCAAGACATTTAACTCCTGATGTAACCTTTGCAACACAGAAGTCCTAGATGGTTGAATGTATGTAGGACGTTCAAACCACCACCCAGCTCAAAGACTAAATAATTCTGTTAAAATGCTGAGTGTATATAGGAGCACAGGGCTATGCAGATGTGTTCATGCACGAAGCAAAGCTAAACACAGAATAAATGAAGTTTCACCCTTCTTTCTGGAACTCTGGAATGCTCTTAGAGGATGTTTGTAAGTACAGATTCCAGCTGCGTAGCCTTTGAAAAGGAGATGTGGTTAAACAAGTTAATCATACTTTTTCTTATCAGATTGATTTAAACCAATTGCAGAAACTTTTCAGTTACCACAGGTGCTTCAAAGCATTTCTGATATTAGCAGGTAAATACAAGAAAATAATTGAAATGCTTGAGATACTTGAAAGGAAAAAGACCAGGAAATAATGATCCTCAGAAATGAAAGCAAATACGTGCTGATGAAGCCAGCTAGCATCAGGGAGACTTTATGGTACATGACAATGGGAAAGAAAATAACTGCTCATCCAATTTACTGAGAGGCTCTACTCTAGCCAGCCACCCTCAAAGGTAACTTTCTGTATTAGTTTTCTATATTAAATATCTGTGCCTTTTGATTTTTTATAACTGCGAGAGAAGAAGTGTGCTTCTAGTGAAGCTAAGTGAAGGTAGACTTTTCAAAAGCTGGCCTAGCTCCAAAGTGCTTGGACTAATTACCTGCAACTTGGCACTGGCCAGCATAGTATTTTGCTTGGTGATCACAGGCTGCAGAAGGGCGAGAGCACCGCCAAATGCTCTGTTGTGCACAGGACACAGGGAAGGAGCTTCAGCGTTCATATAGACACTGCAAACTGACACTTACTAAAGTCTGGCTGAACTCAGAATTGCAAACTAATCCCCCCAAATGACTATAAATCTGAGCAGATGCTTTGAATTTGGCTGCATTGTTCAGCAGAGAAGGAAGCTACCACAAACTCTCGTGGTAAGGATTACACCAGCTGCAGTCCTGAATCCCAAGCCATGCCCTGCATACACCAGGTAGCCATGAAGTGTATTTTAATAATGGATAATGATAATGTTCCATTTCTCGCTAAAAGCCAGACTTTTTTTAACCCAGATTGTCATCAAGAAATTACTAGACTAACGTCCCTTGATTTAGTCCCATTTCACTCCTAGCAATAGTAGGTAAGCCATAAATAAGCATGATCCAACTGTGGTGGAAAAATGGAGCCTCAAAAGAAGCCCCTGCCTGAAAATGATGTTCCAGAAATGGACCTGAAGCAAAGACCTCAGGCAAGAAGCTTCTTGGACCTGGGCAAATCCAGCTCTAGGCATACCTAAATCTGGGGATGCACCATGTTGTTCCTCACGTCTAACAGTACTGTTTGCATTGCTGCACTCCCAGCTGCCTGGGAAAAAGCGAAGACATTTCTGGCATCCCTCTCTGTGTGCCGGCTCATGGAGGTGCTAGGGCACTAGGCAAATGTTAAGCCTTAATAATACTCAAAGCAGGGATGTTTGCTGCCAACCTGGCAATGTATTTTTTTCCTAGAAAGTCAAATTTATACTGAAGAAATGTCTTTACTACCTCTTTTCTTTTGAAGTTTCTGAGGATGGCGTATTAAACTGAAGGCCACGCCAGCAGCAAGCTGCCGCTGCAGCACCAGAGCTAAGGAAACGCTGGAGCTACTTGACCAGAGGTGAGCCCTGGGATTCACGGGCTGGTGTGGATGTCCCAGCCAGAGCCTGCAAGTTGGAAAGCATTTTGCTGTGCTCCCAGCACCTGTAATTTCTTAACGCTGCTCCCGAGGGTCAGCTGCCAGCCTGTTTTTGTTAGGTGTGCTGTGACAAAGCACGTCACCCAGCCCGTGGCCGTGTTTCTCGAGCAGCAGTGACTAAGCAGGAGCAGCTCACAAAAACACATTCCTGCGGCCTGGCATGTGGGTCCAGATTACGCAACTGACGAGCACAATTAAATCAAATAGCAGACAACCCAGGGATGTTTCCCCCTCTCCTGTTCCTCCCACGTTTGGGAGCTGATGTTCCCCTTTCAGCCACAAGCTTGGTATTTGTGGCAGCACTGAACAGTTCTTGACTTTCACCAGCTTGGTGCTACTCACTCCGGTCAGGGCGGCTGCTCCTCGGGGAGCCTCCAGCAGCTCGCTGGGAGCAGTGTGCGGGTGCAGCAGGGACTGGCGCAGGCACCAACAGAAACGCTGGGATGCAGGGAGGCTGAGCGTATGTTTTATCCAAAGCCTGCACAGAAGGGCTCCTCTCGTCCAAGAATTTGGCAAGTAACTTGGAAGCACCCCACTTGGTCAGCTAACACTGTTGCCATCAAGCCCTGAAGTCGCCGCTCCGTGACACGGGGCTGTCACCCTTCACCACAGCGCAGGGAGCGGAGCAAAGGCAGCCCCTACTCTAAAATGACCAAGTGACAGCAGACACCAACCTCCTTTTACAGGGCCTGACACCCCCCCAAAGCAGAACCCAAGCCTGCAGCCTGGCCTTGGGCAAATCACATTGAGTGAGTCCTCTCTCCTACGGAGGCAGGGAGGAAACTACAGCCAAGCGGGCTCTCCGCTGATTCAGCAGCTTTCACCTCAAAGAAAGAGCCGCTGTGCTGGTTACTTGCATCGCAAGCCACAGTTGTTACTTGCTGAAACACCGGAGGCTCCTACCTTGGTACATTTTCTTTAGAGGTGGTTTTACCATTTCGGCACTTTCATCCAGCACTTTCAAAGAACTTTCAAAGTTTCCCTCCTCACAAATGTGCAGGCGGCAGCTGCTGTCAGCCAGCACATGCTCCTCGAGGTCCTGCAGCAAGTCTGCTGGGAGGAACGGCCTCCGAGCCAAGGGCCCACAGACAAAGCAAAGCAGGACAGACAGGGAGACTGAACAGCTGTGGGGCCTGTTCAGTGCAAACAATAGTCAGGTTTTTGACAACAAAGATGTACTACCCGGATTTTAGTTAAATGCCATTTCCCTAATTGGTAAAATAATAAAATGTGCAAGTCCTGTACAAGCATATACATAAATACAGGGCACCGTAAGGCAGTAAATTGGGATGCTCCATCTCTGGCACGCTGATGAAGTGTCAGTGTGAGGCAGGGCTTTTGAGAGGAGCACAAAGTCCCAGCAAAATGTTTCCATCTGCAGACTCTCTGCCAAGGTGGAGTTTGACTGAAACCAGTCTAAGTGTGTGAGAGTGGAAGTATTTAAGCTCCCCGAATGATCTTTCCAGTACAGCTGCATGGCATGTGTAGCTTTTATTCCCAGTTCCAATTTTCATAATTTTTTTTTTTTTTTCCATTATGTGACTGCAACACAGCCCACATCTGACCCTGGCTGCTCACCATTTTACAGATGTCTCCTTGTAATGTCAAAGCTGAACAATAATTGGGGGAATGAAATGGTATCCTGGGGTGCATTAAGAGGAGTGTGGCCAGCAGGGCGAGGGAGGTTATCCTCTCCCTCTACTCTGCCCTGGTGAGACCCCACCTGGAGTACTGTGTCCAGTTCTGGGCTCCCCAGTTCAAGAAAGATGAGGAACTCCTAGAAAGAGTCCAGAGGAGGGCAACAAGGATGATAAAGGGACTGGAGCACCTCCCCTACGAGGAAAGGCTGAGAGAGCTGGGCTTGTTCAGCCTGAAGAAGAGAAGACTGAGAGGGGACCTCATCAACACATACAAATATCTTAAGGGCGGAAGTCACGAGGATGGAAGCAGTCTGTTTGCAGTGGTGTCCAGTGACAGGACTAGGGGCAATGGGTGCAAACTGAAACATAAGAGGTTTCAGTTGAATATGAGGAAAAACTTCTTTACTCTGAGGGTGACAGAGCCCTGGAACAGGCTGCCCAGGGGGGTTGTGGAGTCTCCTTCTCTGGAGATATTCAAAGCCCGCCTGGATGAAGTCCTGTGTAACGTGCTCTAGGTGAACCTGCTTTAGCAGGGGGGCTGGACTAGATGATCTCCCAAGGTCCCTTCCAACCCTTGCCATTCTGGGATTCTGTGAAACAGGAAGGAAAACGTTTCCAAAAATAACCAGAACAAGGGACTGAATGAGCAAGTGTCCTCCACTAACTCATTCTGATGTCAGGAAACATTTGGGAAACATGGTATATGGTGAACAGCAACAGAGACCCAACAGAACTGTCACCCATTTTAATCTGAGGTGACGCGTCCCATGGGAATACCCACAAAGAGGGGCACCTGGTGCAGGATACTCACGTACTTCACTGCATTGAAATGGTAACAAAAGGCTCTTGCAGGAGCCCTGCCAGCAGCACGGAGCAGCAACCCATCCTGTGCAGCCCCGATGCGCTGGACTCCCCCCCCCCAGCGGGCTGGTGAACAGGCTGGGTGGCCGGCTAGCCGAACCCGAGGCACAGACCCTCACCCCCCGCAGGCCCTTCACGCTTCAGTTTGGCATTTTTATTTATGCCATTGCTTACCCGTGTTGTGTGACCTTAATTGGGATAGGGAAAATAAAAAGAATCCCAAGTTAGCTGATAGTTCTGTACTGTTCTGATTTTACATTGCTCAGTTATGTGTGGCCACACATAAAAAAAAACCAAAACAACCAAACAAAACCCCCATCCAACAAACTTGGGAAAAGGCATTGCTGTAAGAAAGCGAGCAGCTGCTTCTCTCCGGTGTAGTTTTTAACAGCACATAGCAACTCTGCTGCAAACGGTCATGTTTTGAACAGATAAAAAAGACCTGGTCTTCATTTTGGGTTTTTGGTTAGCAGGTTGGGTTTTTTACTATTTATTTTACTACTGCTTACTGCTCCCGCATTAATTGTTCTGTTACTCTTGAACACCTCCACCCAAACCTCTCAAAATTCCTAGCGGTGTCTGACAACAGAGGAGCCCAGTCTCGGCCAGGCTAACAAAAACCGCGGTGGCAGAGTGGGCCTTCCAGCAGAACGGGTGCCACTGAAATAAACTGACAGTTCCGCGTGAGCCATTTCGCTCTGCGGACATCACACTGTACGTCTGTTTTGATTACATGTGTTTACAACCTGCAAGGTGATTTAACGTGGCACCTGTCAAGGGCACCGGCTGCAGACCCTGTTCCCCCCCTCAAGGCACGAGTTACCCTCTTGGATGATTTTGGCAGAGCCTTCCCAGGGCACCTCGCAGGTGGCGGCTTCTGCAGCACCAGCTGCCGAAACCCCAACCCGGCGTGGGAGCGATGCCGACTGATCTGGGGCCTATAGGAAAGATGGGGAAAATGTTTTTAGTAGGGCCAGCTGTGACAGGACAAGGGGTAATGGTTTTAAACTAAACCAGGGTAGGTTTAGACTGGATATAAGGAAGAAATTCTTTACAGTGAGGGTGGTGAAACACTGGAACAGGTTGCCCAGAGAGGTGCTGGAGGCCCCATCCCTGGAAACATTCAAGGCCAGGTTGGACGGGGCTGTGAGCAACCTGATCTAGTTAGCGGTGTCCCTGCTCCTGCGGGGGGGTTGGACTAGATGACCTCTAGGGGTCCCTTCCAACCCAGAACATTCTATGATTCTATGATGCAAGGCAGGCGCGTAGTCCCAAGTTTCATGCTCGATCTCATTCCGTACGCGAGTATTTCATAAGCTGTCCGAGCTCTTTGCATTTCAACTTGGATCTTGAAAGACAACACTTCTTGAGCTGTTACTGTACCACAACGTGGCTTTTGGTTTTGAACTCCATACAGTGCATTGCACCGCTAAGTCTTGTGTGCTACTGTGCAATTCCAGTCTCCCTTGGGTGCTGGAAATTTCTAGGAAACCAAGAATTCCCAACTACTGCTGCGGCAAAACTGCCTTCCTAAAAGAAACCTTAATTTTATCCATTATCCAACTTGCATTTAAACCAAAACATAGTAAAAAAAAGCTAATTACTTGCCTGTTGTTCTTACAGCCGATGCTTGGGCAGATGGGACTGTTGGTGCTCACCTCGGAAGAGGTGGGCCGGCAGCAGCAATGCCCAGCTGGATAAGGCAAGGATAAGGCACACAAATGCCATCTTGGATAAACGGCAGCTCCCAGACTTCCCATTTAAACACAAAGCAATCATGAATCCAAATCACACAAGAAAAAGGTTTATTGAAAAATAAAGTTCTCCCTAGTTTTTTTCTACAACAGTGAAAACAAAGCATTTTTCTATGCCATTAAAGTACAGACATTTACCTTTCTAAAAAAAATAAAACAAAACAAACCCAGGAACTTGACAGTATCTGAACCACTGTGTTCTGTTCTTTCTGAATCAAACTGCTTGAACGTAATATAGTGGAACACAACCATTTAAATAAAACAAAGGATCAACCTTTTAGGAAAGAAATCAAGCCAAACACACGTAGTACCAGCCTGCCCCTGAAGTTCTCATGTACATATAAAAACTCTCACTGACTCCAAATTATTGTCTGCAAAAAGAAGCAAACTTTTTATTGTTACAGATTTCAGTAGTTGGTTTGGTTTTTGGGTTTTTTTCAACTTTGGAGTGCTACAGGGATTATTCAGACTTCGACCCCCTTCACCCATGGAGAGAGAGAGGCTCCTCCGGGGAATGATTCCGACCAGAAACCAAAGAGCTGCCCCAAATTGCCCTCGGGAGCCCCCCCCCCCCGCCCCGTTGACTGTCAGCCCGGCCAGCTCAGGGAGATCAACTTCTCCGAGCTCAAATTAGCTTTGTAACTATTCCCTTAGACCTTTCTTTTAGCTCTCTCAGAATATTCAGGGTAACTTTCCTCATAAAATTTACTCTTTTCTCCTTTGGTAAGAACTGCTATTTCCTCCTCCTCTGCTGTATTCTTTTGAGAAAACCAAGTAAAACCATGACTTCTTAAAAATGGTTTTCACTGTCACTGTACAGCAAGAGACCTGCTAATGAATGTAACAAATTAGTTCTGGGTATAACCCTATTAAAATGAACGGCCTTCAGACAATTTCCCTTGATTTATCGTGTACCAGTTCGATACTTCAGACTACTTTGCAGCTGCTGGAATCCGAGCCAGGAGGTGCCAAGGGCCCGGCTGGCTCCAGCTCAACGCCATCACGTTATTTACACGCCCTCCTCAAAGCCAGGGATTTTGCTGGCTCCTGCAGGACCGAGCCTCTGCTGCGGCACCCAGGGCCAGTGGGTGCGGGACACCCCCAGCGCCGTACAGACGCCTTTCCCCGGGGAGAGCAGCGTTGGCCTTGCTGGGCAACACGAGGACAGCGAGGTCCACAGCGCGTCAGACCTGTGAGCCTGGCACGAGGTGACAAATTCTCTGCCCGTGCAGAGCTCAACCTTAGTCAAAGGGCACCTGCACCGATCTTCCCGGCAGAGAGGAGGGCGTCGCGCGCTTGATTGCAGCTGAGATTTTGCAAAGCAGTTTCTGTGTGTGGAGGGTGGAGCGGTTACCCATTCTATCCGAACTCTGAGCACCTGATTTTATTTACCCATTTAATAAATAGGTAGCGTAGTGCTGTCGAGAGAGCTCTGCTGAATTGCAACATACCATTGGTTTTAATCATATGACTATGTAAAGGATTACACCTATAAAAGCAAGACACATTGGCAATGGTTGCACTTTGTTATTTTTCCCTGGAAGAAAGAACACGAGCGATGCCTCGCATCTGAGGCATTCTGGGGTTCAGCCTCTGGTATTTTCAACACATTCCTACAGTAAACATCTTACACTTGATACACAGAGTTTGCTGTTTACACATTCCATTTAAATATAATATTTGGAAATTACAAACTAATTTAAAAAAAAAAATCCTATAGAGCTGCTTAAAAATATGAAGACAAGGTTTAAGTCACTGCCTGTAAAATGATATGTTTTGTTGTTACACTTAGAGCAATATTATTAAAGCATATCTCAGCAAAACCGTATCTGTCCCTGGCCTTTCCAGCCCGACTGAAAGCATACGTCTGTCAGTGCGTTACTCTCCTCACCTCGTCAGCCGTCCCTGAAACGATGGGACCAGAGCAGGACTACAAATGGAAAGAGATCGCAAGTCAAAAGTTGAAGGCGTGGCAGCTGTAGGGCAACCACCACAAAGAAACAGCCATGCCAAAATGTTAGCACCCCAGGAAAAAAAGACCATGAAGCTAGAAACTGGTAACTAATAGCCTCTTGAAAAAACAACAACAAAACCAACAAACACCCCACCCCCCAACTCCAAACTGAAGACTGAACAGCTCTGTCACCAAGTTTTCAACTGGAACTTTGCTAATAGGTAACATCAACTTAGGCGGAGATGCTGTATGCTGCAACAGCAAGCGAAACTGGCTGCTGCTATGTGTACAACAGAACCTGCAAGCGTTTGGTCTTCATCTTGTAAGATACAGTGCTTTATATTTATTAAAAAGGGAGAGCCGCTTGCTTAATTTGAAGAAAAATTAATGGAGGAGTTCTGCTATGACTGAAGCCAGTGGGAGTCATGAAGTTAATTAGACTTGGATGAGATTGTATCCAGCCTCATTCAGCCCATTTAATTTATTTTACTAGCAAAATCTGGTCCTGAAATGCACTATGAGCAAAATACTAACCTGAGAAAGCAATCTGGATTTTGTTTATGTGAAAAGTGCTGCAAACTCGTAAATCATCTCTGTAATTTAGACGGGCCACTCATTTTTGAGACAGGAGAGCACGTCTCATTTCAGAGAGGGCACGTCTGCCGTTGCAAGGGTCAAGCAAGGACATCGCTTGGGCTGTCAGAGGACAGGAGCACAGCACGAGTCAGTGAGGAGGGAGGACATGGGCTGACAGCCCGACTTGCGGCTGATACCAGCCGAAACTTGGAGCAGCTCTGAATGCTCACCACTAAGCAAGTTGCCCAAGCCGGCACAGGTAGTGGGAGCAGAGCTGAGCGGGGAAGACGCAGAGTCCTGGCTCTGTCTGCAGCCCCGTCCCGCCACCTCCAGCTGAAACCTGATCAGCAGCTATTCTGCAAAATACTCCTCTTGCAGAAAAGCAGTAGCATTATCTGCAATAAGCTGAATATCCAGAGTTTCCTCCCCACTGACAGTAGTAAATTTGGGTATCGTAAAAGGACTGCATTCTCCTGGAAGCACCAGGAATCATCCCATGTGCTTCCACACACAGACATCCTTACCCAGAAAACCAACACCTCACAAAATTTAATGTGGATCTTCAATTTCCCTGCCGATCAAACCAGATACAGCTGAGCTTTTCTGTCAGCATCGCCTCCTAACAGCTTTAGTTTGCTCTCTGGTCATTAGACAGACATCCCATCCCAGCAGGAGCTCTCACGTCAAATCACAGGTATTCAGGAAAGGGTATTTTGCTTGCAGAAGGAACGTTTTGCTAGAATTACTGAAGTTATACTTTCATGTTACTAGCTCTTATCTTGGAGTTTCAGAACAGATTCCCCCACTACTCAAAAACGTTCAAAATTCACACTGCTAAGTTGTGTATCATCAAGCACTGTTCTCACCTGTAATTAGTGTTCCATTATACTTGTTCAGACAGTGTTCATATTTCAAACACCCAGCCAAACCCCCAAAAAGGTAAAAAAAGGCACATAAACATTAAATACTTGTAGGAGAAACATAATCTGATATAAACAAGCAAACACACAGCTGCAACTATAAATTACAAAAAAAAAAATAGAAACTAAGCAAAAAATGCAAAAAGCAACTCTATTTATACATGTGCAAATCAACTTGCATATATGAAATAAATGAGGTTTTTATTGGCATTTTTAAACAGTGTGTATTTACCAACTTTACCTTTCAAAGGCAAGCCTTTTATGTTAATTTTAATAAATATGTAAATGCTTCTCTCAAGTTTTCTAATCTCATAGGAACAAGATTTTTGAAAAAAACAAGGTCACATACAAAAATACAAAATTTTAAAACAAAGAATGTCTTGATATGAGAGATATGTTTAAAAGCTTGTAAAATGTTTTTATATTCAACTTTTGACATTTTTTCCATCAATATATCATTGATCAATATATTCAAATGCAAGTCATGCAAAAACCTGATTTCTGAGTAAAGGAAGCTGCAAGCTTTACTGTCAGACTGAAAAACAGCAGCACAGTCCCATCTCTAATATCCTTGTTTAAGTGCAATAATTGGACTACACCTTTGTTGCTTTATTAGGAAGGAAAACAGCTCTGGAACTTGGGCAGAAGGCTGCCCTCTATCCTGACATGTGGAGAGATAGAGAGATATATATTATATGTTTTAGTAAATCATTCAAACTTTTAAATAGTCCCACATGGATTTGCCTGAGCGCTTATCTGCGGAAGGATTCACTGATGTATCAGTGCACGAGCAAACACTGCCGTGGGATGGGGGAGCGCTGCGTCGGGTTTAGCGAGTGACGTTTACCAAGTTTGTGCACGTGCAGTTCTCGTATGATAGTCTCCTTTTACTGAAATTTAGACTGGAGCTGTATTTTGTAAAAGTAGTAGTTCTTCTGAAAAGAGAGTTTAACGTTAATAATAGAGGCCTGTCAAATGATTGATAGATCTCGATTCTTTTTTCTTTCAGCTTAATGAGTCTTCTCTATAGATGTCAGTGGAGATAGGATCAGACCCAACTGATTCTGAAGCCAATTCAGATGTTCTGTCCCTGGCTGAAACGCAAGCGGCATTGGTGTTTGCTGCTTCATTTTTGCCAGTACGCAGTAATTCAGTTCAGTAGACTAGAAAGAAACAGTGCTACAGCACGAAAAAACCAGAGCTTATAATAGACTCTCCCTGCTGTGATAAAGGCAAACTTAGCATTGAGCAAAGCACTAGACCAGAAAATCTTATACTAACAAACACCAAACCCCTCCCATCTTTAAAGTCTGAGAGGCAAAATAAAATGCAGTATGCCATGGGGGCTATACAGTGGGGGGGAACAAGCAAATATGTATTTACAGCAAAGAATTACACTACAGCAAAACCTACGTGTTTTGCGTTCTTTAAGTGCACACATAAAAATCTTTGTTTCTGATGTAATTCTGTGATATCTCATTCCAAACTAAATTCCTGCCTGAAGAACCTCAGGCTGAACGGGTAAAGGCAAATTCTGCTGTTGCCTCTACTATCAGCACCAGGTGTAAGTGTCTGTATTTTAATACACAGGATGTTCCAGTTGCACAGATATGCACAGGTATGCGGGGAATATTTCCTATAAATACAAAATGAATTGTTGCGCCTGCTCCGACCCATTCCCAGCCCTCCTCCCCCAGCTTTTCCAGGGTGTTAAAACTATTGCAAGCGACATTTGTGCTGACTGAAGCAAATGCTGAGCTATGGTAACAGTAAGGATTTTCATATTAGTTTGTGTTTGTTTTCTTTTCATACAAAAAGTTTGCCTCCCGTTAGAGAACCCAGCTGTTCTGTTTCTGGAAAATTACTCTAAAATACAGCAGATGTTATCATCATCACAACCCCCTTACTGGTGACCCTGCTGTTCAACAGCTCCCACGTATCCCTTTTGGATACTCAACAGTCCCTCCGGATTAAGTTCCTGCGTAGTCCACAGCAATGTTACGGAGTGTTACAGGATAACACTGTCAGGAGTGCCGAGGCAGGAAACAAAAAACTGGAAAAAGCTAGTTCATTGCTTTTAAATTGAAACTTTAAATGTATACTGTTCTGTTCTCTTGCCTTGAGAATTTATCCAGGATTAAATAGCATTTCCCTTGCTTGGTCTTTGGTAGGTCAAGCGATAACATCAATATTCACACACAGATAATGAATGCCGGTTACAAGAAAAACCTGAACCAACCAGATCTATCAAAGAAAGGAAAATTTAAAATATCTATGCTTGTCACTATTACCTGGTAATGTCTGTTAATCTTTATGAAAAACACCCTCCTGGTGACTGAGTTGTTTTCCAGTATGATCAGAGCATGTCCAAATTGCAAACCTGCAGACTATGACTGCTTTCAAAACACACTGCAGATTTGGTTCTCACTAAGCTTAGCCTATCGTTTCCTGACTACAAATGGTGCTGTCAAGTGTGTCACCTTCTGCTGAAAATAACAAAAATTACCAAATTGCCTCTATAAAAAGAAGGCGGTTTAGAAGATCCAACTTGCTGCTCTAAAAAAATGAAGTTTGATTTGAGTTCCGAACTCTTGAATTGTTTTTTGCTAAATTTGTAACTGGTGTGCCCGCTAAAAAAAAAATAAACCAAAAGCAAACACCCACCCCGCCCCCCAAACCCAGAAAAACAATCAAAGAACTCACAAGATCAATCGATGCTTTCCTTAGCAGTTGTTTGTCGCCTCTTACTTGTTTTTCAGAAAAAAATTTCTCTTTAAAAACCTAGCTATTTATGAAGACGTTTTACATTTCTACCATACAATAGTTATAGTTAGCTTAGTTTAACCATTCTATGTCATTCAGCAACACTTTAACTACTGGAAGCCGTAGCAAACTGAGGCTCTAACGATAATATTGCTCCAATGATGCTGAATACTTTTTGCTTCACACAGTATTTCTAGCAGACAGACTACAACAGAAGCATGGGCAAATTCCAAGGATTACTCTCTAAATGGGACCAGTAAACTGTGACAAGTCCATTCCAAAAATGGCAGCATGTTTTTGTAGCTTTTCCACGCTGAAGAATGCCACAAGCCCAGCCAGGTGTCGAGTCACCAAGATGAGGTGGCACACGCTGGCAACTGCCTGTTTGCTCATTCATGATCCTCTCTGTTTAGACTGCGCTGATGCAGCAGCGGTGACGCAGACAATACCTTGTTGTATACAGAGATTTAAAAAAAAAAGAAAAAAAAGAAAAGGAAAAAAAGAAAAGGAAAAAAAGAAAAGGAAAAAAAGAAAAGGAAAAAAAGAACTGGGCCCAGATAACCCAAAAACAGGGTACAGAGCTATCGTGTGATTCCGAGTTCTTGTGAAGTAAACTGCTTTACAGCCACCCGAGCTCAAGCAGTACTCAAAACAGTGCACCTAGAATAAAACATTAGTCCTCCCTCCCCTGCACCCCCCTCCCTCAAGCACCCTTTTTTCAATTTGCTACTGGAATGAAGTTGAGATCCTTTAGCTAACCATGATGGGGGATGTCCCAATTCATTAAAAAAAAAAAATAGAAACCACTTCACCCAAACGACAACCAAAAAAAGTTTGATGGGTCTGGGAATTTCCTACAAACTATTTTGTGCAGTCATCTTCAAATCGCTGTAGAACACGAAACTCATTTCTCTTCGCAAACAGATGAAGGACTCCGCAGAGTAACACTGCAAATGTTCTTACAGGAAAACAAGATCGGTTAGCTGTGCCTTACGAATCCCTCCTCTCTTAGGTCATCCTGCCCAGCAATGATAGCTCTGCCTGCAGCGAAAAACCTGGACAAAAGTGCAGGAAGTAATAAGTAGCTCCTCTCAAAACTACTTACATTTTGTCCTCAACTCAAAAGAAGCTCTGCTGCTGCTATAGGCAGTCTTTACAAAGCGCAACCTGCCCCTTAATATAGTCTCTGCAGGGGCAGATTCTTCTGTGGGTTGGGTGGGATCCGGCACAGCTGAACAATAAGAGGTCGCCTTGGAAAACACAGTGCTTCCTTCTTCCATCAAAAGAGGGGACCAGAATGTCATTTGCTGACTCCATGGTGAGACATTCGACATTATGCCTAAAAAGCAAAGCACATGATCTAAGTCACGCTGGAGTTTACAGGGTTTGGTACAGTTTTCATCCTTCCTCACTAAAAAGAAAATAAAATGCTGTATTACACCCTAAATCAAGTACATTTAGAATTGCAGATTTCCAGACTCATTTCTTTTGTCCTGCACAGATTCTCTCTGCAGAGGGCAGCACAGTCCTTTCAGCTTTACTCTGTTTCCTAAAGATTAATGAAGGAAGTTAAAAAGGAAAAAAATGCTTTTGACTGTTCCCCAAAGCGTAATATTTAAATACACCACGGATTTCTAGTGAGACAAAACCGAAGAATCTGATAGCAGGAGCCATTCTCACGGATTTCGGCAAGGCTCTCCCCCAGGCCAGCCACACCACGCCAGGCAGCCCGGGGCAGCTTGAGGGGCGGCCGGCCAAACTGCGAGGATGAGGAGGGGATGCAGCGCTCTTACAGTGGCAGCTGCGCAGAGCCGAGCCGCGCTCCAAGGGACCAGCCAGCGTGAGCTAGCTGAAAAAAGAAAAATTCAAGTTGCCATTTTCTGACCACAAAGCTTAAGCACGAGGGTAGCAACTCCAGCAGAGGCTTGTTTTTCACTTATTCTGGAAACATTGGTAGCTTTCAGCACGTAAGAGATTTATTTTTTTTTTCCCCCCACAGAATTATAATTTTGTCTAGACAGCTAGAAAAGAAGCTCGACTAAGTTTTTACATGAGCTGCTTCTGAACTCCACTGGAAATTACAACTTTTCAAACAAAATACAAAAATAAAAACCTTCTGCAATTTAATTTAGCAAAAAGTGGAGTTAGAAAGCCTAGGAAGGAGAGTTCCTAGAAGCCATTCGTTGGAGCCCAGCTTCGAGTGCTTTGTTTTCATTCTGGAAGGAACAGAGACTTATTCGCAAAGAGACAGCGCCTGAAAGCAACATTAATTCCCTTAATGCATAGCTGGTAAGCTTTATAAATTGGTACTAATACCTCTAATGTACAAGGGTTTACAATTCTTTACCTAGGACAATACTGACAAAAGGTTTGCAGAAACAGTAATTGCTAATTGCCAATGAACATAGATGTTTCCACATGGATGTTAATCGTGACCAAACAGGAAGCTCAATACAGAAAGAAAGAAAATAAAGAAAAGCAACACTTTAGTGCTGCATTTAAAATCATGTGAACAACTGACAGAAACCACACAATGTGTATAGAGTTATATTTCCTCCAAAAAACGCGTTTCGTTTCTGACCCAGCTGACTGAGCACAGTCAGGATTAGCGTTACAAGCCACGCGAGCTCACTGACTCTCAGAAGGATATGGCAAAAGCCATGGAGTAGTGCTCCTGCTCAGCCAGGGCTGCAGGGGGCCCATCCAAACCCAGTTACAGTTCTGGCATTTGCGCTCCCCGCAGCACAAGCATCTTTGCTCAGTGCAAGCAACCCAGTATCACAGGGCGCGGTACGGTGCATGCGTGTAGGAGACGGAGGGGGGAAGGAAGAGGTGTAAATTTTTGGCCTCGGTGCTGTACTCCTTACTCCACACACACACGTCCCGTGGAACGGTGCTCTCAGCACAGCAGTAACTTCTTCCATCCACGGCTACAAAGGACTGACAGCTATCTTCACCGCTTGCTGCTGCCAGACAGACAGTATTCCTCTCTCCACCTTCCCTTCTCACAGAATTCGTACACTAAACCTCATGTGTGGCAAAAAAACCCAGTGCAATAAAAAGAGACCAAAAAATATGTTCATGCTTTGAAGTACTTACCTAAGCAGAGCTTTGTCCTTGTTAAGATGCTGGAAGAAGGAAGGCTCACAGATGAGCTGGCTTTCCTGACAAACTTGTTTACAGGATTTTCCTGGTTCAGCAATTTTTACTTGAAGGGCACTTAATGGGGGCCACATCACCTGCCCGTGACAGAAATCCTGCAGTGACAGATCAGATGTTATTACAAGGCATCCAGTCCCTTGCTAGCAATTTTCCTCATTAGTAAAATAAGTGGTTATTATCACCCAAACACTCATTTTGCAATTCATTTTGGTTGTATTAAAATCAATAATTCAAGCACAATTAAAAAGATGTATTTTATTTATTTTTTTTTTAGCATGAGGGAATTATCACTTTTGATTGCTGCTTGAAATGTGGTAGCATCATTCTTCCCAAAGATGCTTCTTCCCTTCCTCTACCTTTTTTAATTTATCATAAAGCAACGCCAGATACTCTCTTTACTTCTACATATCCAACCCCTTTTGGGTTTTCTCAGCGATCCCTGTCTCACTAACTCAGTGGTAGCAGAACTATTTTTGTAACAGCACAAATATCAGGAGGAAGTTCTGGTAGGAGAATTCCAGAGGCCAGTTACCCTGTAGGCCAGAAATGGCTCAAGCGGCCCACGTGGAGAGCCATCTGGAAAGGATCAGGGGACTCACAGTGCTACGGAGAGAGCTGAACTCATAAAAGACTGAAGATTTCTATAAAGCAACCAGGATTCAAAGAGTTTGTTTGCTCTTCTTGGTTGAACTGCTCCTAAGTGCTCTCCCAACACTGAAAAAAACCTGACTAAATAATGCATGCAGCCAAGTGTCACCACGGCGGAAAGAGGGAAGGAAGAAATGATATCTAAACACACTTGCTAGTGAAAACTATTCAAAGACAAGTTCTTGACAATTCAAATGAGAAAAAGTAAAGAGAAAATTTTAATCCCTGGTTTTATATAACAGTCCATGATACTCAGCCATTATTTTAACATTTGGCAGCTCACATCAAAAAGTGATAAATAAAGTTTGGGCCCAGTCCATCATGGTTTGCTTTCTCCTGACAAAACTAAAATTTGCATGAACAGGTCCCAAACTGAGACCCACAGCTTGGAAAGGCTGAACTGCTTGAAGGACCCCATTTACCAGTTCTCAGTATCAGTGTGGTGTTTTTTTTGTCTGTTTAGATTTCCCCTGCTGAAGGAGGAAGTTTTCATACTCTCAGGTCTAACCATAAATTTAGTATCATACATGAATCACGAATCACAGAATATCCTGAGTTGGAAGGGACCCAGGAAGATCAGAGGCCGACTCCACACAGGGCAACCTAAAAGCTAAACTGGATAGCCCAGGGCATTGTCCAAACGCTTCTTGAACACTGACAGGCTTGGGGCCATGACCACTTCCCTGGCGAGCCTGACCACCCCTCTCAATGAAGAACTTTTCTCCAATATCCACTTTGAACTTCCCCTGATTCAGCTCTAAGCCATTCCCTCGTGCCATATTAGAAAAAAACGAGTCATTTTAGAGCATATTTATTGCAGAATAATTTTAACAGCATCTAAAAAAACAGGTTAAAAATAGATGGTTGGAGGTACTTTTTAAAGAGGTTGCTTCAAAAAGGTCATTTTGCTATTTGGACCGAAGCGCCCTGCTTATTCTGCTCTTTTATAAATCAATATTTAAAATACCAGATGCAGAAGGAGATCTGTAGAGGTTCAAAATCCAATTCAGAACTGTAATACATACTATATAATACTGTAATACATACTGATGTAATATATACAGTATAATGCTGTAGTATTGGATTGGATTTACAGCCAGTGCAGGCAGAAGACGAAGTTTTTCAAAGACAGGGAATCACTTGTGAGGTTTCACCATTTGCTGGGGGCTTCAGCTTTTAACATCTTAGTGGAAAAGTCTTCCCCAAAACTGGGCCCAGCCTCCCATTTCTGGTCAATAGCTTGGTGGGAAGCCTTCCTCAGCTTATGCCACCTTGAAGCATGTCTCCGAGCACATCACCTTCACAGGTACCGGCACACAGGGCTATGTTTCGGTTTGCTGCCTCTGGCTAGTTTTCCTATCAGCCATTAAAAGCAACCTAAATCTGGTATCCTCACCCCAGTCTATCTTGCCTTACATGCATAAGGGTAAAATAAAGAAAAGATGTTATGTAAAACAGAAGGTTAAGCATTACCAGAGACTGCGTTTATGTCTGTTTTACCTATAACCACAATTTCAAGGTGAGACAGGCTTAGCCCTGCTGTCAAAGGAGGTGTCCTCCTC